TATCACGAAATATGAAGAATGTAAACTAAATTTTACTGAGAAAAATACTAATGGCCGGTTTCCCAGCTACGTTTAACTATTCGTTAATGTTTTTGGTTCGATAATTTCATGAAATGTGTCCGAACTATGTAACTTGAGGTTTACTCCGTTGTTAGGTTAACCTAAAACTATTGAATCACTAGTTGTAAAATAAAATCTAGAAACCCAGCATAAAACGTACTTTTATCACACTTTAAAATTGCATATTTACTTCTTTAATAATAAAATCAATGGGTTCTCATTATTACGATTTGAAATTATTTTTTATACTTCGCCCATATCCACTAAAAATTTTACAGTAACTCAAAAGAGTAATGCATAGAAATAACTACAATTTTATTACGTTTCCTGCTATTGGCTTCTAAAAAAGTATTTAGTGGTTGATATTCTGAGTGCTGTATTCCTCAGTCATCGATCTATCATTAGAGTGGTGTGATGAATGAAATTTAGAGACCGTAGAAACATTATAGGTCATTCACCCTAAGTTCCATACACGGCTACCAAGTTTTATCTTTTATCTACGCTCTTACATCGTTCAAAAATTTGAATGAAAAGATTTTTAACGTGTGCATTAACAATATTAGCATAGCTAATATTATGTTAACAGAATATTGTCTGAAAACGTAATAAATAATTTTAGAACTCCGACTTCAAGTGGAATAAATAGATAAAGGAATATTTTTTGACCGTTAATCTAGGTTAGGATTTTAAAATTATTTATTCTTATTTCAGAAAAATAAAAATAAATACCACAATATTTTTAAAGGCTGTTAGATTCATCAGTTATTTTTACCGTAAAAGTAAATGTTATAGCGTTGCTAATTATGGTTGAGCACCTGTCAGTTAAAACTTCTCGCGGAGAGACTTGAGTCTGCGACTGTAGCTGTATGCTAATGCGACCGATAACTTCACCACCTGCTCCGAATTATGCATTAATATACGTGTTGTTTCTTAATCTGTCTCTTAATAGTTTATTTTTATAACTGTATCATGTTTTATTGCTTAAACTGTCATGCTCAGAATTGGTAAATGATCACTAAACTACAGTGTAGATAGAATAACCACACTAAGGGATAGATTAAGAAGGTATTACACTATTCTAAGTGCAGCGGTAAGGAACATAGCAAGTCCAAATCTAAGGATTCACTTTTAGGGGTAAAATGTTTAGACGAAAAAAGTTAGTCTTCTGTAGTAGGAAACCAGTTACACGGTTATTTATTAATGTAATTATTATTACTTCCATATTCGTTAATAAATGCCGAGGCAAAGACCTCATCGGCCGCGGATTCCCTTATTATCGCATTTCCTATTGTTTAAAAGTCTGAGAACGCATCCATAACTCTCCTTATTAGGATATTTCCTTATTATTGATGCGTTCACAACGCAATAATAGTTGATAATATTGAGGCGTGACGGTCAAATAACGAAAAAAAATCCATTGTAACATCATAGAATAATTATCTCATGTATTCTTAAGTAAGCTTACTTCGCATTAAAACATTATAAAATATTTAAGAGAACAACTTTTTTACTGTAAATATGTTCAGAAAACAATCGGTTTCATAACAATTCGAAATCAGTTTTGCAAGTTCCGGTTTTTACGATTCGTTAGCTTTAAAATTATTAACGTCCGCCTTTTCGTAAAATATTGCAACAAAACAAAATACGACTCCAGAAACTGTCAGCGTTGGCAGTTATGCAATCGATGAATAAACATGGTGGTCACGACAGAGTAGGTGTCGCATGATTAACTAGCCCTTAATTAAAATGGCATTAAATAAATATAACCTTTATACCTTTGTGTTACGGTTCAATTTATAAGATTTTATAATACAAGCTGTAACTGACTTGAATTGGTAAGCTACGACTATTCTTACATAGGGTGGATAACGAAAACTAAGTTCGTAAACAGAAGTAAACTACGATTATTATTATTATACCTAATGTGTGTGAATGACAGTGAATTCTAGTATACAAAAAGCAAAATATTTAAACTTGAAATGTAAACTAGTAGGTTGGTAACTAGCGCGTTGAGTCACCAAATGACCCATCCAGTATAAACTTTATTGTTTTGAGATTTGTTTGGCTTGCATTATAAAAGGTTACATTAAAAGACCTGACTCGAATTGTAAACCTTTATTAAACTTTTATACTGTCGCACGGCAGTGCCAACCACAATCCAATTTCGATACACTTTATGTTTGTGAAATTGTAAATTGTGGATACAGATTATAATTATAAACAAAATTAAAGAAGATAGAATAGATTTTTCCATAGTTTCAGTAAATGAAGCGATAAAATAAGACTACGCAAATAATACAAATAGGATTTTGCAATAACTTATTTTAGCTCTGCGCATATGACTACGAATCAAAATTAAAAACGCAGTAAACTGAAATAACCTGTTGCCAGTGAATGATACATTAGTATATTCGATATATTGAACGTTTATTTAAAATTCCATCACGTCAAATGCTTTATCCCACAATGTAGTGATATATCACGAATTTATAAAAGCTATGCAGTCAAGGTCGTGACCTATGCACCAGCCGAAAGGCCAACGTTCTTCTGTTTCTGAGCTGCCCGATTAACTGGATTCAGACTCGCCCACGCGACGCCCAGGCCAATAAATATTTACGCCAATCGAAATGAACGTAGGATTATCGTGAAACAGAATGTTTCAAAACAAAATGTATTACTGTGTTACATTTAAATATTTCTCAGATTGGCAAACAAGATATTTAAAAGAAGATTTCTTAACAATTATGGCTATTTTATATATTGTATTCTTTCTAATATTATAAATCCGAAAGCCTAGATGGATGGAAGGATGTTTTGTAGTCTAAACGGCTGATCACATCTCGATGAAATTTATCATAGACATAGAGGGCAGTCTGAAAGAACACATAGGCTGCTCACTTTTGTTTTTATTATAATTCCACATAGACGGAATCGGGGGCGAAAGCTAGGGTGTAAAACAACGGAACTAAACTTAGAAAGTCCGCCAGGAATCCAGTTATCTGTACATACAGATTGACCGACATTTCGTCCTACATAAACCTTTTATTGAAACCTTTCCCTGTTTAAGACAAAGAAGACAGAATACAAGTTGCGCAATAAGGAACAAGTTTCGTTTAGCTGAAAAAATACACAACTCAATTTGGAACGCAATCGTAAATGATTTCCGCTTGTTAAAATACAAATGAATAGCCCAGTCTGGCCTTGCTAAATATCACATGCATATAGACAACCGTTAAAAATATTTTGCAAAACTGAATCTTTATTCTTTCGATTATTGTAATATTTGTATTACGAAAAAAATATTTTTTTTTACTAAAACTTTCACAATTGAATTGTCTAAAACGTAAAAATATTTAAGAAAGAATACAAGATATTAATAAGTAAAGGTTGGGTCTGCGACAAATTAGAAAATTGCGGTGGTTAGTAATTGATTAAAATATCACGAATGACCAAAGAAAAGCTCCCCCATCAAGAAAATATGTGTCACAATGTGAAATACTTCTATAATACTAAAATACTTCTACTCTTAAATGTATAAATTGACTTTGAGAGTAACAAAACTTCAATGTATAACCCTAACTGAAATAAACCAATTCTAACTTGTCCTTGGTTTTAATTATTGTTCATTTTAAAGTATAGTCAGTCCTTAATTGTTGTCAACGTTCGTGTTGTAGATGGAGTGTGTGTATGTTGGTACAGTTGAGATTGTTAGAGGTATTTCAAATCACAATCGATTAGACATCTCGTATGCGTTTAAAGGATACATGTCTTACCAAAAGTGTATCAGAGTACACTAATAATAATACAATAGTACAGACACTCTACCTTTATTTGGTTATTTGTTAGTGACGGAATTTAAGTTCGTTGCGTAGTGGATGAAAATTCTGTAACTGGCATACCGTGAACGAAGGCAACTGTACCCCGTACAAAGGACGACTTGACAATGCTACAGTACAAAGCAATGGAGAGCACTATGTCAAACAAAGCCCCGCCGAGTTGAACTTTAAGGATTTTCTGCTACATATTTCTTTACAAAAAAATACCATTGCATAAATGAAATTTCCTTTTGCAGTTTTTTAGTCTGTTTTTGAGTCATTAGTAGCCTAGTGACATTGTTTATTTTTCGAACCAATTATAATATGTTTCGAATCAATCATATTTTAGTCTATATCCACTATTAGTCTATTGCCAGTATTTGTATTTCGTAGTGTGAGGATTAGATGCCATTAGCACGGAAGCGTATGACTAAGTGGCATACGTACAACACTAAGTTAGTAAAGAGGCGCGTAGAATGCGGAATGAGACAGTGCTGATGACCCATCGATTGATGGACATGAAAACGTAAACATCATAAACCAAAACGAAGAATAATATAAGAAAAAATGAACTAAACCAATTTAAAGCAGTAGTTTTAATATAATTCTGAATCTATTTTCATTTTATCTAACTGAATTGGAGGTAAAAAATTCGTATCGAAAACTACGGTAAAATTTGATTTGTGAGTGCATTTCAATCTTGAAATCTGTAAGTTTTCGTAAAAGTTGTGCGGAAAAGTTCATCTTCGTCGCAGCTGCGGTATCGACCCGTCTGCACTCAGACCGCTTGTCTCGTAACTCGTTGTAACAACGGTTTTATTATTACTAACTTTTAACTACTACAGATGTTTGCGAAGTCTAGCCGTGACTTTTGTTGTATAAATATTTGATGAAGCTTATTAAACGTAGCTTTTTTGTTTTCATTTCGACTTTTAAATGGCATTAGCTTGTAAATTTTACACAAAAACTCGTGTCGTGGTACGATGAAATCATTGATAATATTTCACTTCTCTTTTGCTACTCCCTTCTATATATCTATGTCAATTCTTTATTCAGTGCTTATATCCTCTAATGGCTGCTTTAAATATAGACACTTGTTACCTATAATTTGTGGTTCCAACTTACCTATAGAGAGCAGAGCCACGAGGGCGGTGAGTACGGGTAACATCATGTTGACACAGTCACTCAGCACTTCACAAATCACTTTTGTCACTTTCAGGGAAATAAATTCAAAAATGACGTGAATAAAAAACAAAAACTTCACAGGCCGCGATGCGGCCGGGCGCTGCCCGAATCTGTAACAGAAAAAACAATGTTAAATTTAACTGTGTGAATATAACTAGAGGATAAATGATGAAATCAAGTGTGTTGATCGTTTGTTTTAAATTCGAATCGCAATATTTATTTAAAGTTTTCTTCTCTGGGATAATTATAACTCTACAAATAAATTGCACATTATGAAATCGGAAAACAATTATTTTCAATTTGTGTATTATTTGCTGCACCGTTAATCTAATGGAAATAGAACGTCAGAGTGCAAATTTCTGTTTGATAATATTTAGAATGCGCCTGGCAGGAAAATACAGCGAACCATAATATCCTACGGCGGTGTTAAAATCGATGTTTGTTTGTGAGCTCTTCCTCTTGCCAAACGCTATCGCTGAAATCTGACCAATGTATGTTAAACAACCGTGTTTATGTTATTTGTTTATATATATGTGCTATTGAATAAATTCGAAGAATTCATTATTTAACATAATAAATGGTTTAAAAAAATTACCTAAAATTAATTATAAGAACAACTTAACTGTGTTGTCGCCTTCAATTGCGATACACCAAAATTTTACTACTATTGTTTTGTATTTTGTGTGGTTAATATTTTTTTATTGGTTGTTTTATATGAAAGTTAACTGAGGCAATCATATAAAACTACTTTTTTGGACATAAATTTGTTAAGTTTTGCCTTCAAACGTTTATGACTACACGTTACGTAAATAGGAAGCCGGATGCAATTTACTAGCCATTATTTGCAATCTTGGCAAGAGCGTAGCTAGGAGCGAGAAATTTGTGACATGTGTTGCTCTAGGCCATTTAGTTCCCTACGGCTCGCCAATTTACTCCGGCCTAACGTAATTTCCAGACCGGAAATATTCCACTACGGAATGTGGCACAATGTTTTACAGTTTACATATAGAGTAACACCCATTAAAACAAGCCAGTGTTTAGTGCATAAAAATCTTGATTCAAAAAAAAATATGTTAATAACAATCCTATTAAAAAAAAATAAAGAACTAGTCTCAGTGAAAGTACTCAACAAGACATTTTATCTTGCCATTACCTACGACAACGAGTATTGCTGATAAAAAAATTATAACGATAATATATCTATACTGATTAGTTTAAAAACTGAGTCAAGAAAGTAAATCTGACACCGTTTCATTGGCTTTTTTATAATTCAATAAAAAAGTTCGGATGTTAGATAAATCTGACGTGAAAGTGGCACCGTTGTATTTTAAAAAGTATTAAAAGATTTCTAAAATATCGCCATTGACAAAAACATGACTGATAACTATGGCAAATCTTTACAAAAAATATTTGCTTCAAAGCGTCAAGCAATTCTTATTCAACTTACACAATGTTTTGAAATTTTACTTTCGTTTAAAATGTCTCCAACCATTAGTTTTTGACCGACTTCCCAAAAGAAAGAGGTACTCAATTCGTCTGTATGTTTTTTTCATCCGTAATCTCTTCTCACTTTGCAAATGTATACTTCGGTAGTGGAAACGGTTCATCAAACCAGTAGGAATCTGACAAATTGCAGCTAGCAGTCTAACACTAGGCGTATCTAAAATCTCCGTAGGGAAAGCGTGTCACTTCTGTATACAAGTAGAAACAGAACACAATATGTTAGAGCAACGATAATGTACTTCTGTAGACCATTGAATAGTCTACATGTACTTTAGTATCTTTTTAGTAAGGTGATAAATAACCTGGAGCTTTATGACAGTTTTCTAAGTAATAAAAATAGTTATCAATATCAAAAATGTAATCGAATTAACCGCATTTGATTTCAACTACAACCTATGTGAGCTCCCCGGCGCAGTAACGAGTGACGGAAAGGTTATTTCGGGCTCCATTATCCAGAAATGGCCACGATGAGTTTATGTTTGGGTTTCACAAGAACTTTTACGTGCAGAGGGCGCTGCGGTGATTATTATAACGAGATACCTTTGTCTTTGTTTGTTCATGCTAGTATACACTTTGAAACTCCAATATACACTTTTTATGTAGAGTTAATAAAAAATAGGCTCTCACGTTTGTAAAACATCGTTTTTACTTTATTAGAAACCATAGTTTTGTCTGCTTGTCTCAGTGTGAAGGAAATTGCATCCTTGAATGTTATTGACATGACACCATAATTACAAAAATTGTTGTTAATTTTTACAGAGAGATTCACAAACTTCTTACATCTGTTAGATGTGCTTTGTTGTAACTGATATCTTTACGATATTAAGGGCCTGTCCCACCACTGGCTGATAGCTTAAAAATCACGTCACTATCAGATAATCAAAATCCGACTTTTCCATTACGTTCACGTATTTTTAACGTTTGATTGTTATCAGATAATTTACAATTTGGTGGAATAGGCCCTAAAATAAATAAATGATTTACTTAAAGTAAAATGAATATGATGACGTTGCGAATATGATGATGAGAGTAAGTTATATTGTATAGCTCTGCATGTATGTATGAAGCCGATTTTTATAGGTCAGTGCGTTTAATAACTAGTGCGGACTGTGAACGATTTCACAAGGTTGAACATATTACATTTGCATGTACCAACGAACAATCTATATAATACTAGATTTCGCCCGCGACTCCGTCCGCGCGGAATTTTAAAAAAGAAAATGCAAGTAGCCTATGTGTTCATTTAGACTATCCTCTACACCTATGATAAATTTTATTGAAATCCGTTCAGCCGTTTAGGGTACAAACTCTAACAAACATCCATCCATCTAAACTTTCGCATTTATAATATTAGTATGAAGTATGATGTAGACTTAACATTCATCAATTCAGTTTGATGAGTTATAAGAGTACTAGACACTGATAACTAGCCCTTTAGTATCTGAGTAACTATAAATTTTATCTATTCTAATATTATAAAGAGGAAAGATTTGTACTACTGGGCCGATTTCAAAAATTCTTTCACCATTGAAAAGCTGCGTTGTCAGTAATATAGGCTACATCTTTCTTACTTCTTAATTTTACGGGGGGAAGTCGCAAGCAACAGCTAGTAATATGTATAAAGTCACTTGTAGCATTTTAGAGCATGTAAGATAACGCAGTCATTGACCGTATATACGGTAGCAATTTGATTTCATTCAACTAATTGGTTTATTGCTTGTAATCTATACGTCAGTATCTCATTGCATTTTAGTAGATAAGCATAAACTATTCATTATAAAACGCCACACTGATAGTTGGTCTGCAATAAACGCGACCACTGACATTTGAGCTAGTCGTATCATTTACATTGATACGATCGTTTTAGGGACATTTCCATATTCTAAATAGGCTCTCTATTTAGAGAAATTGTGACTCAGTACAAAGAAGTTACTAAAAGTGTATGCTTTGCAACAATTTATCAATCTTCGATTAAACTCCGCATATCTTATTCAACTATGTTTAAAAATGTAATTTACTTCTTTCGAGTAAATTTAATCAGAGATAGATTTAATTGACCGATTAGGTAATTTCAAATTACTAGATCACGAGGGAAATTTCTATAAAAACCATAAAATTTTCTTTAAGATGCAATATGAAGTCGAAAGGTTAGAGTTCGAGTCGATACTTATATACATGTCGTAGTACATTATAGATAAGACGTTGAAAGATATCGACTCGCGGGCCGGCTGTCTGGGACTTCTCCCCTCCCTTCACGGGGGGTACACCCGCTCTCCCAGTCCCTCCCTGCCTACACACACATTGATAAAATCATACAGGAGAGTTGGTAATAAAACGATGTTACTCAAATAACTAAGAAATCGATGACTGTTCTTAATGCCCACCACGTTTAATGATCATTTGGATATTCCAATATTACGGACCTATCATACCAAACACTGAGGGTCTCCTTCAGTTACCAATTATCGACTTAAAGTCCAGACTTTTATAATTCGTTAAAGATCTTTGAAGCATTTGTAAAACTATAGAGAGCACGGAAGTGGCCACCTGACTCGAATCGTATTTCGAATCTTGGCCGACAAAAAATCTCACCCAAACCACATTTCGATTGCACCTGCAGCAACGTGTTTGAGAGAAAACATTTGTTTAAATCAATATTAACTTTGGTAAAAACACAACTCCATTTATACTATGTCTACTTTTATTCATCCGGTTCAATATGAATTAAAGCTCTCGGTATAGAGAGGGGTGAAAAAGTAATTTTGGAAATACACCTACCGGCCTTTCACAGCCTGAATAAATAGGGGAATGTGCCAAAGCTTCCATACCGAATTTATTAGCAGAGCACTTGAAATAATCACTTTAATAAAAGTCAATACGTGAAGATAAAACAAATGCCCTTACTCTACTTTAAAAAATATAACTACCTACCAATCTACCATCGCAAATTACACCTATTATAGATAGTTGTTTTTATTAATAAAAATGCTTCTTATTCAGTTCCATGAAATTATTTTATTAAATATTATTAAAAATTTACTGTTTGCTAAGTAGTATAAAGCACGGAGTAAAATTAGTGCTATATCTATTATCTATGTACCGGCATTCTGAGCCGGTCTAGAAATGCGACTGTCAGATAATTCCGCACGTGTAGCCACGGTGTCCCGGTCTATTCATTCCTAAGCCGGCTTCCCGAATACTTCAGCGCCGCGTTACGGGAGTAAGGCGTGGCCATTAATTTAATACGTACGTTGGGCCATATGTTAAATTTAACCGCCGAATTCTGCGGCGCCATTTTGTTTTGTATTTAGAAAAATACTTTTTTTGTCTACTTAATTGGTCTAATGTATTACTTAGATGTAAAGTTTACTAAGCTGTGGAAATATACTCAGTTGCTATATAAAATGAATTATTCATGAGATAAAATAAGAGTATAAATAATGACACCATTTTTAGATAGGATCCTTTTAGTAAATGTTAAGGATGGTTCAGTAAATTTTGTTCAGAAATAGAAAGGATATGCAAAATTTCGTTTTAAGTTAGCATTATTAATTGCAAGATTATTTGTGAAAATGTGTGTTGACATATTTTCATCATTATCGCAAAAATGTTATCTTTATCAATGATTCCAGTAGTTTACGCGAGCATACGCAAAACAGCATTGACTGAAGCGATACCTGTGCTTTGTTGATTATATTATAATTAATGTGAAATTAAATGTTTGTAGATAGAATATAATAAGGAAATAGAAAAGATCCTGTCTGATATTAGCGAGCCTGCCTACACTCGGTCAAGACAACATCGTTATCGATCGACGTCGAGCGTCCGTACGACCGGCGTTATTCGCGAAAACGGATTTATATGACAAAAACAAACAATGAGTGGTAGTTTTTATGACAAACAATGTTTTTACCTGCGAAATGAAGGAGGCGCTTCAGCGCAGCGGCCACAACACTTTGGGACACAACACACGCGATAAGACGAGAGGCAGCGACCGTCTCGTCCGAGCTAACAACGTCGAATGAGTAAGTACGTACTTAGTTGTAGGCGAGACATGAACGGGCGATGACATCCGTGCGACAAGGACATCAGAATGCTGTCTCGTTCGCACAAAGCGTTCCGCAGGACGATTGGAGTCGGCAGGGACGCACAAACCCGAAACGCCGCAGGGAGCCAAAAGCACAGGACCTTTAGAAATGCGCACGCAGATTTTGTCGCTCGCTGCGTGAATATCCCGCATGGCTTTTACAATTTCCCATGATGAATATTGAATGGTTTGCGAGTGTAGCAGTAACGTGCCCTTTTCAATTAAAACTCTTTTATTTACTACAGCATAATGAGTTGGCAGATTTCGAATGCTGAAAAATTACTATTCACAATTAAGTTTTCGAAATGGCAATAGGTTACTGGTGTGACTTGTGATCCAAGAATGCCTCTTAAACTTAAGGGACAGATCTACAAGTCCATCGTAAGATCTGTCTTGTATTAGATATTGTATGGATCTGAATGTTTGGCCACCAAAGTTGCGGATGAAAGGAGACTGTATATGGCTGAGATGCGTATGTTAAGATATTAGAGGAAGTTTGAAAAACAATTCTAATTCACAACTTTTATTTCAAATACAATAATAAAAATAAAATGTATAATTATTTCAAAAATTGTAATATAAACATATATCCAGAGTATGGCAGTGGTAATAGAAAATATACTAATCATATATCAAATTTGCTTGTAAATGTTGATTTAAAAAATTATTAACTTAGATATTAATACATAATGTTCTCTTAAATATATTTCTCATTTGGATTTATTGCAGAGCTTTACAATAAACAGTATATGTATGAAATGGAAGGACTTTTTAGTGTCAAAAATAAATATATTTCTTATTATTGCTTTTCAAACAGCACTCTTCGTCATATTATGGCACAATTAAATAAATTCGTAATTCAATTTGAATAATAATAGACAAATAGATAATATAAAAAATAAAAGGTACTTCAGGAGGATAGGAACTTGAGACTTTTGTGGGCTTAAAATTATTAATTTTAAAACAAAGATATAAAAATGTTATCAGGGGGATTTTTAAATATAAATTAAAATTAAATATATCGTAAACATTGTTTTTCTGTAGCACAAGAAAGCTGCCTAAAATATATACGTTAATTCATACTTATAATAAATTAGTTCAAAAATCATGTTAGACACCATTGGACGTCACATTATTAGAACATAGCAAAACAGTACATATTTTACATAAAGTTGATTACAATAAAGTACATTTAATAAATCTCATTGCTTTTTTAACATCTCAAATATTCATAAATAATGAAATAAACTATTTTCATCTACAACCCCAAATCTTTACTACTTTTCTTATAATTCTATACAAATCGTACAATCATGAAAAATTTTAACAGTAAAGTTTTTTTAAGAAAGTTTAAAGCCCTGTCCCACTGTAAAATAAATTGTAAATTGTCTGACAGCAATCCAACGTGTAAAATATGTGATGGAAATATCGGTTTTTTATCTTATCTGACAGGGACGTCACTTTTAAGCTATCCGAGCCTCTATCAGCCAGAGGTGGGACAGGACTAAATATTTTAAACTCGCTAAATCTAACTTGATCATAACTGTACTAAGTGTACCATCAAAACTACCAATTAATAAACTTTAAACGATCGCAAAACTACTTACTAATAGCGAATTGGATAAAATTTTTCAATTTATACTAATTATAACGAGGTTTAGATTTTTATATGTATGATTCACGCTAAGACTACTGGGCCGATTTTCACCATTAAAAGGTAATTTATCTGTAACATTAACGCGGGTGAAGTCGCGAGCAACAGCTAATCTACGATAATATCAATAAAGATGGCTGTTTATATGTTGAAAATCTATTTATGCAGACTCATGCGGCGCGGGCAGCTTCTCCCAGGAGGGCTCCACGCCCCAGATCTCGCGCGCGTACTGCGCTATGGTGCGGTCGGACGAAAACTTGCCAGATGATGCGATATTCTCGATAACCATCTCAGCCCACTTCGCTGGATTCTGTTCAAATGAAAATATATCTAAATCATCGTCATCAGCTCACAGTGAAACACTCAGACCAATTTTACGCTAAGCTGTATTAAATTGGGTGAACTTAATGAAAAAATTGAATTGAAGCGTTTTTACTTTTGTACCTCTCTAATATGTATTGGTACAATGTCGTTGCGACCATTTGCTAGCAGATAAGTTGTGATGTAAGCGGTCAAAGGGTTAACATTTCAATTAAGTAAAATCAAAAAATTAGATAAAATGGAAGTGCCAATAGCCTTATATGGTTTGGAGTACAGACTTTGGAGTATTCTTCTATTGTCCTGAACATCCTAGCACAAGCATAGAGCTTAGTTGAAGTGGTTAAAGGAAATGTTAGTAAATTAACAAAAATCTATACTAAAACAAAAATAAATTACATTATCCTTAAGAAGTAAACAGGGTTGCGTCCAGGGCGTTTGACAGAAAAGGTGCGTGACATGCTGACAAATATCACTGTTTACAGTAAAAGTGCCAA